AGAGTGTTTCTCTTTTAACAATGTGATGGAACTCTAAAATTGTAGCTGTTAAGTTAAAAAGGTTGATATGCCTCCCTAAAATAGAGACATTTTTTTCAGCTTTCATTTTGTCATTCTGGATATGATGTGGAGCTATTGATTCAGATAAGGTAGTTATTTTCTTAAAATGTCAAATGGGGGCTAACTACTTTCAGTATTTATTTAAAAAAACAAATTATGCACTTCTTCTGTCCAATTTATACTCATTTCAAATAGCTTTTTCTTGGAAAAATAGAGCATAATTTCCTGAAGGAAATGATTTCATCGGTGTGCCTTGAGCTGCAGTTAACATGAAATTGTGAAGTGTCTTCAATCATTTTATACTGTTGAATATCTGTTGATACAAATCGTCATGTGATTGTTTAGCTAGGTGAGAGTATCTGAAGTTGTATTCAATTGTTAAAGGGATGGAAATTGCATTGTGCTTCTAAGTTGAAAGAGAAACTAAGTATTACTGATTATCTTTTAAGTTGTGCTTAAAACTTTGCCCTTGCCCAATACTAACCTTAACAAGCCAGGAATAGAACAATGTGCACCTACTCGTACTAAAGAAGGAGCCCCAATAGTTCATGTTAGGGCCGCAATAGGCCATGTTCACGACTCAAATCAAAATTGACATAAATATTGAAATATTTGCAGGTTTGAGGTGAAAATAACGAATATAAGCTTCTTCATTGTCAGTGTGGCATCAGCTATCAAATGATACTGAGTTGACTAATTCTGCAGGTGCACTCAAGAGGTAAAGCTCTCGCAAAAGATGTGGACTTTGAGAAAATTGCTAGAAGAACACCTGGTTTCACAGGAGCAGACTTGCAGAACCTAATGAACGAAGCAGCCATCCTTGCAGCCAGGCGTGATCTCAAAGAAATTAGCAAAGATGAGATATCTGATGCACTTGAAAGAATAATAGCTGGACCTGAGAAGAAGAATGCCGTTGTTTCGGATGAAAAGAAGAAACTTGTTGCATATCATGGTACAATGTCCTGTTTTACTTTTAAAAACTTTTATTTTTTTTACATATCTAACACCTAAACTTTACATATTACATTTATACCAGCCAAATCTTTCCTATCACATAAAATACCAGTATTTTAAATTAAAAAAAGTGAAATACATCTTTTCATGCGTAGGTAAGGTGGCATATATGTAAAAGTTGAAGTTCAGGTGTTAGATACATAAATGCATAAGAATTAAGTGTTATATATGTAAATCTTCCCCTTTTTTTTCTGTACAGAAGCCGGACATGCACTTGTTGGTGCACTCATGCCAGAGTATGATCCGGTCGCTAAGATCTCCATCATTCCCAGAGGTCAAGCTGGCGGGCTTACTTTCTTCGCTCCAAGTGAAGAGAGGCTTGAGTCTGGACTTTACAGCAGGAGCTACCTGGAAAATCAGATGGCTGTTGCTCTTGGTGGAAGGTGCGCTTGTATGATGAAGTGATAGTTCGCTTGTATAATGAAGTGATGTTCTTTTTCTTCTCATGTCACTGGCTCTGGCATTGATTGCTCGCATGGCTGTTCTTGCAGGGTAGCTGAGGAGGTGATCTTTGGGCCAGATAACGTTACCACGGGAGCATCAAATGATTTCATGCAGGTTTCACGTGTGGCGAGGCAGATGGTGGAGAGATTTGGATTCAGCAAAAAGATTGGTCAAGTAGCTATTGGCGGTCCTGGCGGTAATCCATTCCTTGGTCAGCAGGTAATGTTGATCATTATTTTGATTTAGAATCCAAAAACATACTTAAGGTTTAACGTATCTTGTAGGAGAAAACCAAAATGTTTGCAAGCTTTATAAAGTCTGGAACTTATCTTCAATCTATTCTAAATGCTTAGCTTTTCTAAAGGTTTATTTAGGTTCACTTTTGTTTTTTAAGTATTATTTTTATTTTTTTTAAAATATTTATTTATTGCATTTTCTTTATGTTTTAATTTTTTATTTCTAAAAAATAATCAGAACATTTAAAAACTATTTTGTGTGTTTTTAATAACAACTAAACATGCTGTATCATACTAAACTTGTTTTGTTTTAACTCAAAATGTTAACAAAAATAAAAAAAACAAAAATCAAAAGTAATCCCAAACAGACCGTACAATTAATACCAATTTGACAGCTAGAGTGCAATGGACGAGAAAAAATGATTTAACAAGCCAAGCCACAAAAGTGATGATGATGATGTTGGTGCTGGATTTATAACTATGATTTGTTTCATTCTGTTGGGCATGTACAATGAAGTGTAGAAGTAGAGCCAATAAGATGGGTAGTAAAAAATACGAATGGAGTGTGAAGAGAAAGGAGGCCTATGATAACATAAATACAAGTTTTGCTAAGAATTTTTCTCTAAAATATATTTAAATCGTAATCTGCATATTGGAGGAATTCATGGATGATAAGAACTATATAGCCAACCCAAATATTTTTGACAATGGTGATGATTCAGTGACGACATATTGAGGCATATTCTCATCTGCTTTGGTAGGAAACAAAAAATGTTGCCTAAAATTTTCCATTTTGATCTCTATTTTTCTTTTTTTGGCACTTTGGATCAATAGATGTCAACCCAGAAGGACTATTCCATGGCGACAGCTGATGTTGTCGACGCAGAGGTGAGGGAGCTGGTAGAGAAATCTTATTCGAGAGCAAAGCAAATCATCACAACCCATATTGATATTCTTCATAAACTTGCACAACTTCTCATCGAAAAGGAAACTGTGGATGGAGAGGAGTTCATGAGCCTGTTCATTGATGGCAAGGCTGAATTGTATGTTGCCTGAGTATACTAAATTCAAGATGAATCATTTGTCTGCACCAAATGATTTTGTACAAGAAAAAGGACAGATGTTTTGAAGTGTCATGTTATAGTTGAAGGGTTTTGTTAATAGTTAAAATATTTCTTATGGCTTCTTGAGATCACTTGAGGTATAATGCATTATGTTGACAACTTTAAATACCTGCACATTAAATATAGTTTGAGCTGCAGTCTTTTCTGTCAGTCTTTTTCCTTTTTTTTCATTTTGGCCCCTCATTTATGCGAAAAATTTAAATTTTTTCCCCTACAAATTCTTTATATTGTACAACACTAAATCTTACTGCACTTTGAATCCCCAATGTTGCACTTTTTCCATACAGCTTAAAAAATTGATATTGGCTATAGGAATCATTTTTTAATTTTTTTTTTATTAGTTTGAACTTATTAGATGTATTGAAATTGAAATTTGATTTCTATTAAGTTCTTAGACCAACAGTTTTTCTTTGGTTTGAAAAAATGTTTGTACAATGTGTATAATAAAGGCGTCGAGGTTTAGTGTATGATAAAGAACCCTTGAATCTTGAATTAGCTTCTTGAGAGACTCTTGTTCAGCATTCTGCATATTAGAAGTGAATTTCATTTTACATTTTGGTGCAATGTGAGTTGTAGTTTGTATCTGCAGCCATGTATTTTTGGAATCCTGCACTTTAAAATTGAAAATGAAGATTTGATATTGTTTGAGAAATTAGGTGATTGCTTGTGAGCTCTTAATGCTAGTGTTTTTTGGGTACGTAAATCATTGTTCACAAGTTCCCTTCAGTCCTGTTCTACTGGCTTTAGCCCTTCTGTGTCTGACATCTTCTCCCTTCTCTACATCCCCTTCCTTTTCTTCAGACAAGCTATCACTTTTAAGATTTCTCTGCACTTCCTTTCTATCATTGTTTCAATTTACACAAAATTTGCAACTTCTGCTGCTAATAAAATTGACCAACATGGAGAGCATGAAAGTAGAATCATGTTAGCTTTCTAATGATACCAATAGTATATAATTTGAATAACCCATGAGTTACACAGAATTTAGTGACGAGATCGAACCAACCTTAAAATTGCATTTCAATCCGATTGACAATATGAATGATGTATCTTTTAACTTTACAGAAAATCTACTTCTAACTTTTTTTTTTACTTTTTTGAAAATCTTCTTTTGCACCATTTAATGTAAAAACCGCATTAGTCCTCATCACATTTAGCTTCTTAGGTGACAAATAATATCATGATTCAGTTTGATCTTGCCATCATAAATGGAGAAGAAGTATTTTTACTTCTCTCAGAACATTTTCAGTAGCTGACTTATATATCTCAGTTTTTTCATCCTTAATAGTAAGTCTAAATTATATAATTCATAAAAATATAGTAACTTTTATCTTTTACGTTGTCTATTGCCCTCTTTAACAGACTTCTAACTTCTTTTTTGTTTTTACAAACTTAACATATTTAACATTTACACATTACAATATATTTATTTTGTGAAGAACTTGTTACATCACATCACACCACACCACTGCTGAATCTTCTAAATAATGGAACTCACATTGTATATGGTTTCCTGAAGTAAATAAATGCTGGAGCATACATTCGATGACATATGATGCGTTATCATCAAAAGACGTATATATAGATATGTAGATCTCGTTGTTCGCGAACAGCTCGTGTTCGGCTCGTTAAGAAGCTCGT